AATATCATTGACATTATTTTTAGAAACATAATTGTTTACTGATAACAATAAGTAATAAGAATTTTTTATTTTCATTCTAATTACAAGTGAAATGAGGAAGAAACATATACATCTACAATAATAGAAACAACAGTTAATGTCTGATATTTATTTTTGTTAATAAACAATCATTAATCGTAAGGAATGTTGAAATATTTTCAGATTTTGTCATTATTCTTTTTTAATAGGCCACATCTGCCTTATTATTATGTTTCGATGAGTCGGAGGTTCGAAAAATAATTCAGGAATGCAAAAGGGTTCTCGATTATCTCGCTGTAGCAGAAGTTATAGAAACCATGGAAGAACTGGTCCAATTTCTACGAGATCTCAGTCCATGTTTGAGCAAAGTGACGAGGGAAGTTAGTGCCAGAGAAAAAGAGTTAACCCACCAAGTAAACATATTTTTTATTTAAAAAATTATCTAATTCTATTGACTTTTATTTCAGGTTCATGCAGAAATTCTGGTCCGTTGTTTGGAGCAAGTAAAAACGTTAGCTCCAATATTGATATGTTCGATGAAGATCTACATTCACATTATAATGCAAGGTGGCAAAGGGGCCGAGGAGGCTGCAGAAAACAGAAATTATTTGGCTAGACGTATGTCAGACGAAATCAACGAGATAATTAGGGTACGTACACTAATAACGTTATACAATATCTGTTTACTATAATTCGTTTCTGTTTAATGGAATTGAGATATCGTAAATTTGAAACGTATATGCATCAGAGTACTGCAAAAGAACCACACAGAGCACGCGCGACTTAAGTACCATTGCCGATAACCTCGGGGCCCGATGGGTTGCCTACGTCGCAGTGGAACTTTTCGCATTCAATGAACATATTTTTCCTAATAAAATTTTATTTGTTCATTGTTCCGCTAATAACCCATCGGCAAACAGACGGTACCAATTTAGAGGCATATTATCGCATCCCTTGCCACTTCCTAAATAACACCCCATTCGTACTACCCACCGATACACGCACGCAAAAACAAACAAAAGGGAACCAATATCAACAGGTCGTTGTTATTGTTATTTGGAAAATTCTTTAAAAACGATATCGATGATAAGTGACTTTGACTAACTGCATATGTCACTGATAGATTTCGGGGTGGCACTTACCGAGTACGTCTTGGAGACTGAAATCGGCAGTTATTGAGTCCATTTCGGTGGAAAATTGCCAGAGCGATCGCGCACGCACAAACACATCACTCAACTTTTCACGCCATTTGTTCGCGAACTAGGAAAAGTTTCGTTAAAGTTTTCCCGAAGCAATTGTTATTATTATTATTATTACGGTTGGTAACTTTGAAAATATGAAATGTTTATTTGTTTTGTAATGTTTGTTTAGTTACGTGTACGACTAATTTTTTCGGAAAACTTGTAAATTTCGTGGTAAACACATCCGTTTGCTTGGCTTGTGATACGTCGTATACATATGTACAAAATTTAATGAAATATTTTAACAGTTGAACGGCAGCGCGCCTCCCTACCATTGGTCGTTATGCTTATTAGGTATATAGCGGTTAATATATAAAGGTTATTATGTACAATGAGGTACGAGGGGTGGGCAAAATACACCACTTGCTTGCTCATAATTTATGAACCTTAAATAACTAGACTCTATATGGGAATGCTCATGTCTAGATACTAGGAAAAAATTCGATTAATTATTAATCATCAGTGCAATAAAATAATCGAATATCTACGCATATGTATGTGTATGTGCCTAGGAATTTTAACAATTGTTGCATAAGAACGTTAGAGGGTAAGTTTATAGTATGAAATTTTACTCAGAGTTGAAAATTACATCTTCATCTTATCGTCTTAGGCCTAAGTACGCACCTTATACCTTTAGAATGACGCGCTTTCTAATAATAATTAATAATGATTTTAAGTTCTTTGTATTAAAGGGTTTTCATATTGCATTCATATTGTTANTTATTATTATTATTATTATTATTATTGACAAAAACCGATCGCATTTGACAGATTAACCTCATCCTGCAACACTTCACTTCCAACCAAGTACGTACGGTATGTAACGGTACTCCGGGTCAGCTGAAACGTTTGGCTTGGAGTTGTTAAGAGTTGGAACGTTTCATTTACATTTGCACACAAGTTGTAGTACCTATGTGCTGGCTGCAAGTTCTGTACACTGACACCACAAGTCATTCAACACTTGTACGTACTGAAACGGATACAGCTTATTTAGTTGTAATTATTTCTATATTAGGTCTGAAGCTGCTCACCGTTCTTCGTATTCTCCTTGTTGACTCTGTTTACTATTGCTTACTGCCCCATTAGATTCGATAAATCTCAAATTTCGTCCACTTTTCCGCAACCGTTTCAGTTCTTTTGTCGCATTTGTCCTTGTTTGAGATTGTTAGAACGAATATGTGGTCTTCTTATCGTAAAAAATGGCACCAGAACATTACCAGAGTGAATAGTGAAAGACATACATTGTAATAAAAATGATATGCTAATGGTGCATGTAGTGAGTACATGTGTACGTGTGTACACATGTATCGGATAACAGATAACTTGATTTATTAACGTAATTTACGTTTATCTTCTGTCTAGTATAATTGTGTTACTTGGAAAATAAATTTGTTGTTCTCTTGTTTTGTTGTTTGTGTGTCGTATTTATTGTAACTTTTATACCGTATTAACTAAACAATTCGTTCGGTTCTGTTCATCATTACAAAGCAATTATTATCTTAAAGACCGGTCATTTACTGATTACAGTATCGTTAGATTATCGTTTTCTGTATAAACCCACTTATTACTTTGTTTTATGTAATTTCGCTCTAGGACAGGGACTGTTCAAAAGTAAAAATAATTTTCTTGTTTTGTTACACTATTATTACTTTTTATTATATAATCACAAAATATGTGTGTGTGTACTTGTTTGTAGTATGTTTATACTTGCTTCGTAACATTAAACAACGCAATGTTTATAGAATGAAATTGAGAACATAGTTAGGCAACCCAATTTGCACCAGCCTGAGTCAATTTTTATTGAGTACTACTGTACAAAATTACGTTACGTATTTGTATTTCAATATTTAATTAAAATCTTTTCTAGGAATGCTATCTACTAACCATAATATAAAAGCATTTATTATGAAAAATGAATTAATATTATTAAAAGTTATACAACATTTTGTAACATTTGGTTATATTATATTACGTATCAACTTTTTTAAGTGTATATCCATGCTTAATGGTTTTTAGTTGTTCCTTATTGATATTTTTTTTATTTATGTGTTGAAATTAAAATTATATTGGTGCTGTTCTATTATTTTTGAGCACGGCTGTATGTAAACAGTTTTAAATTCATCAATCTGTCGACAGAGGGCGGAAGTTGACTCAAAATAGAAATTAAGAATTTTATCGCTTCCAAACACTGTTTGGTTTTGTACGTTCAAATATTTTTTTATATTTAATGAAACTATTACTTGTATTATCATATTAATGTTAAAACTATTGAAAATATTACTCATATCGTCCAGAAAACTGTGTTTTGTATGAAGAGTGCAAGTAGTAGTTGTCAAGATGGCGCTTAGTTGTCGAATTCATCTAAACAATGACAGAAATCTGATTCAGATTTTTCTGTTTCATTGGAATATACATTGAAAACTGTAGACTTGTAGGTCACTAGTTTGTGAGGTATCAGTGAGGTTTATGATCCCTTAAATGGTGCTGACCGTATAATTATTACTATTTACGTTTCTCAAATTTAAAATTCTGATTTTCATTTACGTAGTTTTTTATCAGTGTTATTCTTTTGTTGTTATATTGTTAAGTGTTTAAAGTTGACATCGAACATGCCTGTCTTCCATACAAAAACAATCGAATCTATTTTGGAGCCTGTGGCACAGCAGGTAAACTTTGTTAATTCAAGGAATAAAATAAGAGTTTTTAATTGTATGCAATTAATTTTTCCCATTTCATTTAAATGACAATGAGTCATATCTATTTTTAAGAATTCGCAGAATAAAATTGCCATGTATTTTAAGTTAACCTGTCGAATCCTGCCTACACTTTGATAACGAAAATACTATCCCATTTTATTATTGCAGGAGTACCTTTATTATAAATGATAATTTTAAACATCTTTCCTGTATTCTCTTGCCAAAACAGCAACTAATCTTAGAAATGGGCGTGGTTATGTAAACAAATGAATTAAATGTTTACTTAATTGTACTTTTTTCAAATTGTTTTCTTTGCTGCATTTTGAATAATATACAATTCACCGACAGTTTGAATTATTTACACAAATAACTTTTACTTTTTTTGAGCTGTGGGTTACATTCACATATGCATGCAGCAAACATTCCTACTTCGGTAGGTATTATTTAAATTAGCGTTGATACTTGCGATACTTGCTTTGCATATTTTTAATGTCATTATTCTTCGTAGGTAGAAAATATTTTAGCCCACCTTAAAAGGTAATGAGGTGGGCTTATGTAGACTAGGTTTATGGGCAAACATTTTTATTCTTATACCTAAATATATAATTTTGTTATTAAAACTTGAAGCTTTTAATAATATTCTCAAATTTACAAAATTCACACATTTTCAACTTCTTTAGTTCATTTGATTTAACTTTTATTTAAAATCATTCGATTATTTTATATGGATATTATATTAACTAATTAAAAACCTAAAGGGGGTTTTAACTTTTATAATATACATATAATTATACATATACAAAAATAAGTACTAAGTATATGAATTTATAATTCAATATTAATAGTAAATTATTCTATCTGATATCGTATATTAACAGAAATGTATACAATACATCTTCTTGTTGTGATGCTGTAAGATCATTAATTCAACAAGGCATGATCTCATAATAAATAATGTAGAACGTGTAATCTCATTGCAACAATTTGACTCTGTTTATTTAATTGAGGCAATACAGGAGGCTATTTATCTTATCAATACATCTCTTTTATTTCTGGTATTAAAAATGAAAATATTATGTAAATATATTATTAGCAAAATTTAATTAAACCCAGCTATTTTTCCCCATTAATTTCAATACATAAAGTTTCATTTAGTATATACAATACATAGTATTCCTAAAGAAGTTGAAAATCTTCTAGTATAGTCTTACGATTAGCAGTCTACGTACTGAGGCTTCTTAGAAAATGTCAAGTTTAAAAAAAATCCTTATTTTTTTCTAAGCTTTACGTTTTCATGTTTAAAAAAGTATATTTTATTTATTGTCATTAGAATGCTTTCGTGACTAGTAAAGAGCTTTTTTGTGAAACACTGGCTAAAATAAACGAGTACTTTTCAAAACATTTTAATTCCAATAAATCCTGTGTGTAATTAGCCATACTGCTCAGAGAATGTTAATGTGTTCGCATATGATTTCCAAAGTCGAATATCTTTATCTTTATTACTAAAATCCATTTATTTCGAAAAGGAATAGTCGTTTCTGTGATTATTTATTTACATTATACGTGCCACACATACTAAATCTATGTTTAAAAAATGTGAAACGTGATTTTAAGAGTGCTAAGTGCCACTTGATTAACATAAATTACATAATTTTTTACTATTTACTCTTAAATTCTTTTAGAAATCCGAATACATGTAAAATTTATTGAATTTATTAAATTCGGTTATATATGTGTAGATATTACTGCAAAAAAGAATTGTCACAGGGCAAAGTAGTACCAGCAATTTCTTATTCTGAAGTGTACGATGTGTTGCGTACCTATTTACAAACAATTCCTTTAAATTTTAACCATTGATATCTATTAAAAAACCATAATGGCCGACATTAGTAACAATACGACAACAATTGAAAAGAATGATGGCCGACAACAGCAACAATCAGAAAAGAATGATGGCCGACAACAGCAACAATTAGAAAAGAATGATGGCCGACAACTGCAACAATTAAAAAAGAATGATGGCCGACAACAGCAACAATTAGAAAAGAATGATGGCCGACACTACGTCATAGTGGAGCAATAAAAATGGCCGACTATTGACAATACGAATAAATGTAGTGTTAAAATCTTTTTTTAATTATATATATAAAATAAAATTATGAGTGCTTTCAGCACAGGGCAAAATCCAACTATTGTTGTCACTGATGTCAATGCTTTAAAGCGCATGAATATAAACAATTACAATCAAAACGTTTTTCGAACAATTTTTAACACAAATAAAGTGATTAAACAAATTGTTCACAAAAGTGAATTTCAACCACTTGAAGCAATGGTGCTAACAATTTCGAGCTCACAGTGACTGATAGGGGGGGAAGAACCAGTTTGTACAAAATTAAAATGCAACTCAATATCTGTAACAATTATAAGTAATGTTTTAAATATTTAAATCAATTTCCGTTTTATAATCAGCCTAGTAAAATCGTGAAGGATAGCGAATCTAGTAGCCTTTGTGATCGTTAATTATTATTACATACACATTATGTATCCCCAAAAATGGGGTAACAAGATATAAATACATAAAGCAATCCATATCGTCGAAAAATCGTTAAGAAAATGCTTCTTGAGCATTTTCTGAACGATTTTTTAAGAACACTTAATAAAGAGATTGCTTTACTACAAAGTGGCCCCGTTTTCTTTATATTTTAGGTGTCTAGGCTAGTGATATTACACGAAGAAGCGGAAGATGGAAATGCTATGCCCGATCTCGAACAGCCTGTCAAGGTCGTTAGTAATGCTGTTCAAAATCTCATTAAGGTAATTAATTAAAAACAATTTATATTTCTGTTTTGATTGTTATTACCATTCATTTTTAATTGGAAAGGACAAGTTTTTATTAAGTTTCAAGAACTCACAGTAACAGTAAATAAGTTTTGATCATTGCAAATTATTTATTAAAGAATTAACAATTATTTAGCTGTTTTTCCTCTGATTGTGAGTATAGGTTGGAAAAGAGACAATCAACGGTTCTGGTGATGAAATATTACGACAAGATATGCCTACCGCCCTAATTCGTGTAGAAAAGTCTTCGAAATTGCTGGAAGAAGCCAGTGCCATGTTGAAACAGGACCCGTATTCAGGACCGGCGAGAAAAAAATTAATAGATGGAAGCGGGGGTATTTTACAGGTATACAAATAAATTATAAACTTTACAGCCTTATTTTCAGTTTCATGTAAAACTACACAAGAAAAAAATTTTATTTCGTTTACTTTTACGTCCACCATCTTTGCTATTGTCCCCAACGAAAAAAGGCTTTCAAAGATTTAATTTTTTCATTAAAAAAAGTTGATATTAGATATACATATGTGCATTTGTTTTTATTAAGAATAAGGTTCACTCGTCGGCCTAAGTACGTATCTTATATCTGCTAACAACGTGCGGTCCTTCTATGGTTTTAAGAAAACTTGATTTATTCTTTTCATACAATTTAAACAAAAAAATACAGATGATTTCTTTAAGTTGCTTTTGTATACTTATTCTGCATTATTAATTTACATAATTGTATTATGTGTAAATGAGCATAAATTGAAACTTATTATTTTCTGTGCTATATAGAAAATAAATGGAGCAGTAGAATTCAGTCCTTATGGTTGTGTTTTCTGTTTTTCTATTTAATTAATTGCGTTTAATGTTTGTTTGGAATAGATTTTCTCGTAAAAAATCGTTATAAAGAATAGTTTTATACGTTAATTAACTAAACAAAGTTAAGGATGTGAATCATTTCTACAGAAATAGAACCGTCGAAGGTGATAAATTACAAATCTAAAAATAAAATTTTCCCGTTCGAAACTTCTAACCGAACAATTTTCAAAATGCACAATTGAATCATAATAAGGCTTTAACTTCAAGAAATAAATCATTTATGCGTGAATCATAATAATTATTAAACAACTTAATATTAATTGTTTTAATGGAATGTAACTATTATTAATGATTCACAATAAATATCTTCAATTACAGACCTTATTTTCCTAATCGGTTATACACACATACATACAATATCATTGACATTATTTTTAGAAACATAATTGTTTACTGATAACAATAAGTAATAAGAATTTTTTATTTTCATTCTAATTACAAGTGAAATGAGGAAGAAACATATACATCTACAATAATAGAAACAACAGTTAATGTCTGATATTTATTTTTGTTAATAAACAATCATTAATCGTAAGGAATGTTGAAATATTTTCAGATTTTGTCATTATTCTTTTTTAATAGGCCACATCTGCCTTATTATTATGTTTCGATGAGTCGGAGGTTCGAAAAATAATTCAGGAATGCAAAAGGGTTCTCGATTATCTCGCTGTAGCAGAAGTTATAGAAACCATGGAAGAACTGGTCCAATTTCTACGAGATCTCAGTCCATGTTTGAGCAAAGTGACGAGGGAAGTTAGTGCCAGAGAAAAAGAGTTAACCCACCAAGTAAACATATTTTTTATTTAAAAAATTATCTAATTCTATTGACTTTTATTTCAGGTTCATGCAGAAATTCTGGTCCGTTGTTTGGAGCAAGTAAAAACGTTAGCTCCAATATTGATATGTTCGATGAAGATCTACATTCACATTATAATGCAGGGTGGCAAAGGGGCCGAAGAGGCTGCAGAAAACAGAAATTATTTGGCTAGACGTATGTCAGACGAAATCAACGAGATAATTAGGGTGCTTCAATTGACCAGTTATGACGAAGATCAATCTGAACTTGACAATCTAACGGTGCTAAAAAAACTCCAGAACGTTATACAAAATAAAATAAATAACGCCAATGATTGGCTTACGGTACGTGTATGAGACATTTAAAATTATTTAATCAGGTTATTGACATATTTACTTTTTCCAGGATCCACATGCTGTTAAAGGAGGCCTCGGAGAGAAGTCTTTACGTCAAATAGTCGAGGCAGCTCAGAAGGTAGCTGAAAGGTAATAATAAAAAAACCGTTTAAATTAAATCATATTAAGTAATCATTTTGTTTCGCAGGTGTTTACCAAAGGATGCTCATGAAATTAGACGACTTTGTTCAGAAATAACAACGATGACTGATGCTCTTTGCGAACTTCGCCAGGACGGTAAGGGGGCTACGCCACAAGCAGAATCTCTTGCTCGCAGCATACGGGACAAGTTGGGGCAGTTGCAGCAGGCAGTATTAAATGCTGTTGTTGCTGTCGATAAAACAGGTCTCCAGCAAGCAGCACACACTGTGCAAGGAAGGTTAGTACTGATAGAAATAAGCGAATTTGACAATTTCCCTTTATATTGATACCATTTTCTGTAATATTTAGACTAGAACAGGCTCGAAAATGGTTGTCTAATCCAGCCCACGACGATAAGGGACTAGGTCAGAGGGCTATCGCTTTGATTGTGGACGAAGGTAAAAAGGTAAGTAATTTTTTGTAATAATCGTATATTGTCTTTTACAAATTAAATGCTTTTACTGTAGGTTGCTGAAGGTCTTCCTGGTATCCAGAAGGCCGAAATTCTTCAGTTGTGTGATGAAGTTGAAAGTTTATCCAATCAGTTAGCTAATTTGTGTGCCCAAGGCAGGGGCGACACTCCTCAGGCTCACGAAATTGCTCGAAAATTGTCTCAGAAACTAAACGAATTGAAGGAACGAATCAGTGCGACTGTGACAAACAGGGTTGTTGAAGATTTTATAGATATCGTTACGCCGTTAAAACAATTTACAGACGCCGTGTTGGCCCCCGAAGGTACTCCCAATCGCGATCAGAATTTTTCTGACAAAGCAGCCGCTCTTCAACAGTTTTCTAATCGGGCTGTTAAGACAGCTAAAATGGTAGCAGCAGGTAAATTGTCTAACTATTTATTTAATAATATTGCACACTAAATTATAATACAAACAAATTTAGGAGGCAGTGGTGGTAACAAGAAGCTTGCAGAGGCTCTTCAAAATGTTGCGAATCAGGTAGAAAGTCTTACGCCTCAGTTGGTTTCTGCTGGCAGTATCCGGCTTAACTATCCTACATCGAAAGCAGCCGATGAACACTTCGAGAATCTGCGGCAACAATATGCAGACACGTTACATAAGGTGCGAGACTTGTGCGATGAGGCCACGAATTCAGGAGACTTCATAAAAGCGTCAGGTATGAATTTATCATAAAAGGATTCTCTCAGAAATTATTTTAAAAAAAGTAAAACTTATCAAACTTATCTTTGTTCTTTTTGATGTAATTTTTATATTGTTTATTTCAGAGGAGCAAATGAAAAAGCACACTTTCTTATGCGAAGAAGCGATTAAAAATAAGCAACCCCAGAAGATGGTGGATAATACTTCAGCAATTGCTAGGTTAACGAAAAGGGTTCTTCAGGTGGCTAAGCAAGAGTGCGACAATTCCGAAGATCCTCATTTTATACATGAACTGCAAGCGGCTTCAGATACATTATTAAACTGTGAGTTTTTTTTTGTGGTTTCTCTTATATAAAAATTTATCAATTTCGATTGTTTTCTTTTTTTGATAGCTGTCCCAGTAATGGTTCAAGATGCTAAACAAGTGGCCATTAATCCTTCGGACCATGCTGCGGTGTCTCGTTGGAGGGAATCCAATAGAGGTGTAAGTGTAATTTTTTAAAATATAATTATTTTTTGACATAACATTTCAACTATTCTTATTTATTGCAGTTATTAAATGCAGTGGGTCAGGTTCGCAGAGCAGTTCAGCCTGATGTTCCACCCCTACCTGATATTAATAATCTGCATTTGGGTAAGTACTTATCTTAAAGATATTACGAAAATGAAAATTAATTTGTTTTAATTTTTCATTAATGTACATTTAACATTGTTAGAATAGAAGTGATAGGTAAAGTATTTATTTTATTTTGATTTTACAAATATTTCCGTTGTGTGGCACTTTTCTCTTATCAGTAAAATATGTCTTGGTTACGGTTTCTAGTTTTACTTCTGTCAATCTAACAAACGGTTTCTGGTTCCTTTTCTGTCATACTAACATACTTGGTACTTTTGATTTATTTTGTCTCCCGTCAATTCAATTGTCTCTTTCAACTTTTCTTTCAGAGCCGCCTATTGAAAGAACTTACTTCACTGAGAAAGGTATAAGGTTTTTTCCGCTTAAAGCTTAACTCATATGTCTTAATTAACTTGTTTTAATTATTATCCAGCGAAAGCAACTGCGTAACACTTTATTTAGCGTTTTCAGTACAGAAAAATCCTAAGGTCCTGATCATTTATTAAATTGTTTTATTTTTTACCTCTTTTTCTGCTCAAGGCTTTTAATGTATCAAGTTTAGGCATAATTTAAACAGCGCTTTCAGTGGATCATTAAAGTCATCTCATTACTTTTTATTTCTTTCCTTTTTCTAAAATGCACTTACACATTTTGGTGCATAAAGGTACTATTTTATAATAAAATCTATCCAAATGCAAATTAACAATCTTTTAAAAGAACAAAGCTGCAGTAAAACATTGTTAATATATAAAACATTTTTTGGGTTTTGGTGACTATTAATCTTGTCAATAATATTGTACATACACAAATTTGCGCTACTAGAGTAATTATTTTTCCGGGTTTAATTAGATAGTATTTACTAATCAAAGCGGTGTTTACGGTTGTTTATTAGCGCCTTTTTCATCACTTTACATTTATTTTCTTTTTGTATACTCACCAAACTTACGTGCTTATTTGAACGCTTGTAGTTGGTGAACCGTTACGTAACACTCCAACGCCGGGAGGTGAGTCTGGTAGACTCACCCCCCATTCTCCTCACCAATACGGCAGAGTCAGCCCACTTCCCAAGTGGGCTCGAGGTAGCACAACTTTCTCTATTTTTTTGTTTTAGCCATTTTAGATTTCATTTTATTCGAGTTATTTTACTAGGAATCAAGAAAATAGTTTCAGTCACTATCTTCTAACGTTTAGAAAATTAATTTTAAAAAATATTCTTTTTAATCCTTTCATTTTTTTCCTTTTCGATATATTTTGCAATATTCAGAATATTAATTTTAAATCACACTATTTATTTTGTCTGTTTTAATTTTTCAAAATTAATGTTTTAATTAAAAAAATATATATATCTGGCATTATAAAATGCAATTTGCTTATTGATATTCTTTTTGGCTTTCTAACGCTTCGTTTAGTTACATATTTCCTTTTGTTTAACATTCCTTATTTATATGGCATCTTGCATCATCATTATCTCGTAGAGGAAAATCCCGATCTTCTTTATCAGGAACTGTCTAATAACAATCTAGAACAAGGTAATTAGTAATGTTTGTGGTCAGTGCATTGGGCTTGTCTATGGCTTTTTATATTTGCTCTAGTTGTAGGCTTAGGCATATTTGAAAATGTTAATTATTATTTTCGCTTTGCCTGTCTAGGTATGTAATTAAATATTTTAGTTTTCAATTTTGTTTTTATTGTCGCGTTGTTCTTGGGCCTGCTCTGAATGTGCTGTAATTACTGCTTTAGAAATAATGTCTTTGTAGGTATATGTTAATCTATTTTCTAATTGAGTGGATCAATTTGGGTGTTAGTTTGTAACTGCTCTGTCATCGTTATTAGTTTTTTGCCTGTTATATTTGTCTATATCATGTATCAAGGTCTTAATTATTACTATTTTTGCTTGCGATTTTACAAGTCATTTATTACATCGATCTTCTAAAAATCAATTATTATATAAAAAACGTTTGTTTGGTAATCACAATATATTTTAACCAATATTTTTCATGCTTACTCAGGATATTATTATTCATTCATACCACAGTACGTGGACGAAGACGGTAATTATATTTGCTAATCCGTAAATGTTTATAAATTTGTGAATTCTGCCATAAAAATTAAAAAAAAATTGATGTATGTTGTTGTTCTTGCATTATAATGTAGGTATACTATAAAAGGCGCATGTGGAATGCATTTTTAGTGATATTTTGTGTGGAATGTTCTTGACTTTTGGGTTTTCTTTTAAAAGAATCTGCTCCACCACGTCCACCACCACCTATGGAGGACGGGATTGCCCCAATGAGGCCACCACCACCAGAAACTGACGATGAAGATGATGTTTTCAAACATGCCCCAAGTTCTAGTCAACCAATTATGGTAACAACTACGTTAATATTATTTTTCTAAAACGTGGAATATCAATTTGATTTCATTTTAATTTAAATATGAGAAAATTTTCTTTATTATAAATAGGTTGCTGCCCATAATTTGCATAGAGAAGTAAGGCAGTGGTCTGCCAAAGATAACGAACTTATAGCAGCTGCTAGGAAAATGGCCCTGCTTATGGCCAGATTGTCCGAACTCGTTCACAATGACGATAAGGGTGAGTGATTACTACGAAAAANAACTTTTTTGTAATTAATCCTACAAGACGTATATTCTAATTTTAAAAATGTTTTTTTAGGTAGCAAGAGGGAACTCATAGCAACGGCCAAAGCCATAGCAGAAGCGAGTGCTGATGTAACAAGAATCGCCAAACAGCTTGCTCGAGAATGCACGGACAAAAGGATCAGGACTAATCTCCTTCAAGTTTGTGAACGTATTCCTACAATTGCAACCCAGCTGAAAATTTTGAGTACCGTTAAAGCCACTATGTTGGGAGCCCAGGGTGAGTTTTTAAATAAATCTTTATTGTATGTGCTTGTATAAATTAAGGAATTAATTAGATATTAATTATTTCCTTAAGTTCACTCACAGCGTCTTCATTTTATTTATCATATATCGCCAAAAATAATAACCGTTTACTAACATTAAGTGTAAAATATGGCGCTATTTCGTTACACTGCTTGTGTATGTATTAATTATTTTTGTGTATGCTTATTGCGATACATAACTATCTAATTTATTGGTAATGGTTCCATATCCCTAAAAATGAGGTCTCACATTCATTGTTTATTAATTTTTGTTAATTATCTGCGTCTAAATTTGCGTAAGTCGTAATCCTCTAGGTACCTAAATAAATTTTATGTGCGTTTCTTACATTAACAACGTAATAGTACCGCCTGTGGCCGAAATTCTGCCAACTGTGGTAAAAGAAGGGTATTGCAAGGGGTCCGGACAAGGATTCACTTAAAACATCCCTACAATTTTAGTGATATGAAAATCACACAATGAACTTTTTCAATATTCTCGATTTTTCTTTACATACAGACACATTTACCTGTTATTTGATACCAATTATGACCATACATATGTATGGAAATGATAATCGCGAACTAGAACTTTACTCGTAAAAAATTCAGGTACGCACGCGTGGGCTGTATGACTAGTCGTTCCGCACTCTTAAAGAATGCCGAGACCTTTTCCCTTTTATTTACATGCTTGTAAATACATACTGTAAATATTACGCAGTCATTTTTTACTTGCTTACTAAGGAGGAAAGCCAGGAATACCTAAAAAAGGTAAAGCACTTAGCCTTCCGTATCTTCCTGTTGTGGTTCTTTTATTTTAAATTTCTTTAAGGCTTACATTTCACTTTAATGCACTGTAGATCATTATTATTAAAATTTGTGTCGAATTTGCATCAACAATTTAACATTTTCTTTACTTAAGTACAGAAGTCCTGAATAATAATAATAATACTATCATGAAGGTGTAGAATATTTTTAATTACTTACCATAATCGTCTTGTGGTTTCTGCATGGTGGTGTTATGCTAGTCTTTTTTATTTAATTAGATGTTTACAACTCAGTTATCATTCTTGTCTATTGCTAACATGTGCTTTGATTTGTGGTGTTTATTTATCAACATTTTCATAATGATTTTGTAGTTTCGTTTCAACGTTTTACTTAATTATCACATTTGTTTATTAACATTAATTCATACTTTTTTCTATTAAATGCTTTATTACTTTCTTGTTGCGATTATTTAAGCATTGGTCATGTTTTAGACTGTTTTTATTTGTGTAAGGTATGTTTTCTTAAGTGAACGATTAAGTAAGGTATTTATTGTGGTTTTGTAATTAAGTATTAAAGAAGACATTTCTTTAAAAATTGCCACTATATATTTACTTAATTTTCAGTTTTGAATTATTTCATACACTTTCGTTTTTTACTTTTATTAATTCATTATATTTTAAGTTCTTTAAGTTCTACTATTTAATTATCCATAATCTAAGTTGTACGAATGTGCTGTAATTACTGCTTTAGAAATAATGTCTTTGTAGGTATATGTTAATCTATTTTCTAATTGAGTGGATCAATTTGGGTGTTAGTTTGTAACTGCTCTGTCATCGTTATTAGTTTTTTGCCTGTTATATTTGTCTATATCATGTATCAAGGTCTTAATTATTACTATTTTTGCTTGTCATTTATTACATCGATCTTATAAAAATCAATTATTATATAAAAAACGTTTGTTTGGTAATCACAATATATTTTAACCAATATTTTTCATGNCCTCCGTTTTGAGTCGTATGACTTGCATTTTGTTGTTGTGTGTTCCACACTTGTTTGCAAGTACACTTTCGACACGACTCCATACTGATAAGACAGAGCCCGAAACGACGTTGTAAGTGCGTCTTCGCAACCCGACCTCGCAGTCGTGTCCCACACTCATGTTCCGGCAATTACCTTGCCAATACGCATGCGAACATGTAGATACTGATGCTTCGTGTTGTTGCGTCCACGCTTCTTGTGCCTCATCTGACTGAACCTATATTAACATAAAACGCCCTGATTATTATTGAACTAAAACTAAGGGATCATTTTTAGTTACCTTTTTGTATTTTTTCTCTAATTCGGCTAAGCTCTCTTGTCGAAATTGTAGCCCAGTGTTCGGCCTGTACACGTAGTACATTTGATCCTTCTTCGATTCGGACTTCTTTTTCACACCTGTATCAATGGCCACAGCCAATATGGCAGTATGTTTGCTGTTTCTGATTTGATGAGAAATGTAAAAACCTTCTTTAGCGCCAGTCAACTCTGACCATTTTTCTATCGCTTCGTCCCATGACATTCCTGAAAATTAGAAATAATTTGTGATAGTTATAGACCATATTAAATGACATTTTAATAAAACATTAATAAAGTACATTAATTACTTTGGACCAATGTTTTATCCATAAATTTAGACATTATAAAGGCTTTCAGTAAGTTATGTATTCGTCACGACTTATAAATACAAAACCGTTAACTTTAAAATATATGTCCATGTATAGTTTTTTTTATTAATTTTGTGTTATTAAAATTCAAGTTAGAATAGAATGAATACCTCTTTCAACATGCACTGTGTGGAATTCTGTGGGAGCTGTACCAGTGGCGTGCTTTCTAAGAAACATTATCGTTCGTACCCTTTTTACTTTTTCTCCAGACGCGCCCAAGTCCAAAATACCTGTAAATAAATAATTAGATAGTTTTTAAATTTTAATGCAATGAAGGCCGTCAACAATTATTACTTGCCTAAATCGAAACGTCCTGTTCTCTTTGCCTGCGTTACGATAGCTGCCAGGGTATCCGTAAAATACCTGTAAATAAAGACAGCTAAAGAAGTTCTTCCTGTTTAACTTAATTTATTTAGTTTACCTAAACAGCCTATTTTGCAAGTCAACTGGCATACCGAGTATTCTATTAAGGAACTTTGACATATTATTGTAGTCTTTATCAAGCGACAGGACACCTGGCATCGTTTCACTATTGACAATAACACCAACACCAACTAAAGCGTCTGCAACGTCTTTGAAAAAGTCGCCCTTGTAATCTTGCGGAGGCGGCACGACCGGTGCCTGTTATTAAAACGCATTAAATTATTATAACCGTTATATTTATCGTAAAATTATAAGGTACGATAATTGACCTAAAATGAACACAATAGATAACAGTTTTAATTTCTTTTTACTTACGTCATACCCCATGATTGCTTTCATGGTCGCCTCCAAAGCCGCCCTACCGTACTTGTTATCTATGTTGAATTGACTTAAGTCGCGGGTTTCAGTAGCTCTCCTGTCTCCGTGAGTTAAAGCACCTGTGAGTTGTAATATATGTGATTAGATGTCATGTTCGTTAATATGGTTTAATTAATTTAATTTTATCACAATTATAAGTTACGTATCTGGAATGAACTGAGTTGTAACTCTAATAAAAATAATAATTATTTTAGCATTAACATATGCATTCGTTACTATTCTTGAACTGTTTGTTTAAATAGTTAGGGGGGCGGGTTACTTCGAAATGAAACATGAAATTAAGTGAATGAACTTTTTAATTTTTATCACGTTTTAGTACACCACGATGTCAAAATATAGGTACATTACATATCACACAAAATTTCGTTACACAAAAAACAGGTATAACAAAGAAAAAAAAATTGTCAGTGTTCCAAAAAGAACAAGGACATACCTATACCTGTATGTATATTTATTTATAAATATCAATATATGAAACAATGTCTTCATGTTGTGCCGGGAGATGAACTATTTTACACGTGATTTTTAGTAAGGGGCAATAACGATCATAGGATAAAATAAGAAATAAACAAGGGGAAAAAGGGAAGAGGGGAGGGGAGTGATAATGAACAAGATGAAATACAGAAATAACTAGCAATCGTCCTAAGGGATAAAAAACGAACCTATGCTTACTTACATCAAATTTCATAAATACGTAAAAAATAAAAGCTAAACGAAACCTATGTCTAATGCTGGTCGATCTTCCTTTGTATTTTTTTTTAATATGAAATATCGGCAACAGCTTTATAAAGAAAACGTATACAAAAACCACACTAACAGCGCAGCAGCAAAAATATCTATAATAATGATCTACTACCTAAATAGTCCGTTTTGTTTTCGTACTATACAATACAAAATAGTTAAAAACGATTCGTTANTTATTTGCTTACCTAAACTTTCCAGTCTTTTGGCAACGATGCTCGCGAATCTTCGTTCGCCTGCTAGATCAGATATAAGAAATATATACTCGGGAGCATTAACTTGGTTACTACGATGCGTCCTTCCGAATTGTTGAATGGCTCGGTCCGCAGACCACGGCAATTCTAACGTAATATGAACCCGTCGTCTCTGATTGCGTGCCCTCCTATCGCTCTGTAGCGAGATACCGCTAGATGCCGCTTCCGATATTATCGCGACGTCTTTTTCGCCGTCCATGAAGCGCTGTTTTTCGGTCAGATTCAACGTTTCGAGCGGCACGTCAATTTCTGATCGACTCTCGTACTGAATACCGTCTTCTGTTTGTACAACTCGACCTAGAAACATTCAAATTGTGAATAGGGGACTGCATACATAGATAAAATTAAAAAGACACAAAATATAACGTCCTCAGCTCTCATAATCTAAGCACACTGGGCACCTGAAGGTGTTAACTATAAACATAATCGAAATTAATCAGGTCCAGCGTTTCGGCTGAGTTAACTCCTTCCATCCCTTGCTAAGGCAGTTTCTCATCATTGGACGTTAAATATGTACTTTGTTAAGTACGTAAGAAAGAATAAATCGAACCTTTTCGTCCTGTCATTTCGGCTACATTTTCGGGTCCGCCTAACTCGTCTATCAACTGGTCCAACGTATTAGGTGGTAATTTTTCTCCTAATTTTTCAATTTTACTAAGCAACTCCTCTTTCATATTACACGCACGTTCTATTGCATCTTTAGGCGGTGCAATCCTATTGGCATCGTTTGGAACACCACCATTCGTCTTCCCTAAAAAGCGAAAACCGTTAAATCAATATTCTTTTTGCGATCGTATAAGCAAAATATTTATTACCTTTATTTGAACCCTTTTTAGCAAGTAAGAGGGCGATTTTATCCTGCGTCGAGGTCGGTTTCTTTGCGGCCTTCTTGTGCTTCTTTCCCTTCTTTTTGCGATTCCACGGATCATTATCTGAATCACTATCCGAGTTAAACGGATTGAAATCGCTGCTCACATTCGAGTCGGAATGTTCTTCGGAAATCTCAGACTCAATATCTGACATTTTATACTCGGAACCGGATGTGTGCTCCGAATCGCTGTCAGACGTCGACCACTTGTTACGTTTCACTGCCCGCACGGCCGCTTGTCGCACTTGAAGAAAAAAAAAAACATCGAAATCAATCTGATTGTATAATAAACTTTCGTTAGCTAAATTTATACTTACTTGGTTTTCGTTTTTTAGACGAACTATTCCCGTCGTCTGTTCCGTTTGTAACCTTTTTCACACTAGAAGGAGGGGGCTCTAAACCTAATAATCTATGTATTCTACTTCTATCAGGCGCGGGGAAATGTTTTTCTACTAAAGTTTGAAATACGCCTAGAAAAATATTCTTTTAATTGCAAATCCTTTTTTAACTCTTTCTGTTACCTTTAGCTGTTGAAACGAAATCTGACAATTCACCGTCATCTCTTTCCAACTGCTCTAATGTTCTTGCCTCTCCCGTACTTTGTAAACCAATCACAACACATTTTCCTGCCAACGAATCAAATTGTAATACAACTTTTAAATATAAACAATAACGAACTTACCGCATTTAATGGCTTCGTGCGCTGTACCAACAGCGTGGGGCACTTTTGCGGCTATACATAGATATTTAAAGAACCGCTGATGTGCCGACCAAAATTGTCCCCACATGGTCTTCCGCATCCGGTTTTCTGCGTCCACAAGTTCCGCGGCCTCATGAAACTTTTGCATCGCTTCTACCCACAACTTAACGCTAGCATCGTATACTTTTATAAAGCTCTCGGACAAAGGAACCTCTTCAATCTTAAAAGCTACACCATGAAAACTTAACTGTCTTGCTATGTACATACCTTAAATACAAAAGAGAATTACTAATTAATAGTAAAATTATAACGTTACATGTATCCGAATTTATTATTAATAACATAGAATGTAGTAGACTGATTATAGTTATTTTCATGATTGTACCTCTTAATTTCATATCCATTGCTACGATTTCCATAGCACCTACGCCCCTTTTTTCGACAGCCGATATGAAGTCCGCAAACTCTTTGAAGGGTGTGCCCTCTCCCCACATTCCCAACCTGACCATGTAGGCCATATTTCTGGGTTCGGAAGCTCCCGTGGCCGAGGCATAAATCACTCGCGATTTTGGGAGCTTATTTTGTAGCTCGAGTACGGTCAAACCTATAATACATCAAACATAAAAAAGAAAACCACGGAATTTATTAAGAATAACAATTGAAATATAACAAGATACTGTAAAATAATGCCCTCAGCTCTCATAATCTTTGCACATCGGGCCACTGTAATCGTCGGCGTTTGATGCAATCCACTGTTACATCAAGAATATTTGTTACTAACCGACAAGTACCTCCCCTTGCAATTTCTTTTTTCATCACTGGGCATACAAAACTGTAGTCTTGATTTATATTTAGTGAACTACCTACCGGTTTTTGTGGGCTTTGACGACCCTACAGGGCACAAATTTTTTGCACGGTGACACTCGTCAAATATAATAGGCCCGTCGAAATCTGGACCACACCACTGAAGTAACTGTTTCAGTCGCGATTTGTACTTGCCACCTGCACTGTTTGATTCACCAATTAATGCTGAATACGTCGAGAAAATTACGCCCTTCTTTACGTTTCCATTAACAGCCGAAGAGATCTTGGCGTATTTGAATTTGTTAAGAGCGTGAACTTCGATTTTGCCAGCGCCAATATCCTTTAGGTCCCGTTCGGCATCATATTTGAGATCGTTCGATACGGATATCCAAAGCGCCCTCTTCCGACCTTTCAGATAGTTTTCGAAGATTATGCCCGCGATTGTACGACCTTTTCCAACACCCGCACCGTCACCTTTAATGAAAATATTTTGGTAATTTCACTTTTTTGTAATCTCAAGGATCCGACTAAAGTAAAATTAACTGATAAATTATATTAGGTTTCAAAAAACTACCTATTAAAAAGCCTGCCCTAGTCCCGTCAGGTAAAAGATGTTCATGTTGTTGAGAAGCATATGTTATACTCTCCAGTTGTAAAGCAGACAATTGGCCTGTTTTGATGGTTTCTTCTGGTATTGACAGTTTATACCTGTAACAAATAAAAAAAGGACGCGTAAAAATTCCAAATTTTTAAAAATAATTGAAAAAAAATTACCAAACGTCTGCGGGTGCAACAGAAGACAACGAAGCGGTTTCAACAACCGGATCGGGATGTTTTCGGCCTAATTTGAGTTTAGCAGGCATATAGTCGGCATACGTTTCAGCCACACCTAGCTCTTCATCATCTACCTGTAAATTATCAATTTATAACTTAAAAAAAAAAAACAAAAAATAAAGTAGATAAAAACATTGTTTACGAATTCTTTAAACATTTTACCTCTTCTTCTTCGTGTGGCGTCTGCAACGGTTTGTCATGATTCATCCACATTGAAGCAACGGCCTTGTTACTTAGCTGAGGCCCCCAAGGTGGTCCCGCGGGATTCGAGTAAAATAACGCTGACATATTTTGAAGAAATGGATTTTGCATATAGGGATTGTTCATACCCAAACTTATGGCGGCCATTTCCACTGTCATAAAAATAAGAGAGGTCAAACTGCCTTCCTTTTCTCGGTAAAATTTTTTATAACATAGTCAACACCCTTAATATAGAAATGCCATTAAACGTGTATTTAAGCATAAGAAATGTTAATATGCCATGCTATGTAATACTCATTTCATACCACCATACCTTGTTTATCTTTCTTGGTAAACAAGACGGTAGTATAAAACATGAGAAAATATAGTTATTTTAGAAAAACACAAACGTACACAATAATAAGGGAAAAAATTAAAATATGAGGAATTGAACAATAACTGCAGGTGCAGCCAAATTAATATCTACATTGCCTGAAAACGAAAATAACAAATTAACACCAAACGAAGAAGTGCTCAATAACTAAAAGAAATTGCATGCCAACTTTTGACTTTTAATCGATTAGAGAATGACTTACTCTGCTGCAAAAGTTGTGCAGCGTTGAGGCCGCCCGCAGGGGGAAACATACCCCCCATATTCATGGCCCCCCCCAGACTGCTCAGCATGTTGGCCATTGCGGCCATGCTGCTCATGCTCCCATATGGGTGTGGGGCACCCACTGTAAAAAATTCCCATACCCTTGTCAAACAATCTGTTTCCTCAATTTAGCAGCCTACGCGTATGCGCTCATACAGATATACAAATGCAGTATTCAAACTTTAATGCATAAATTGAATTTTCAAATTATATTCTTAGTTTATTAAAAAGAACCAACATTTGTAAAATTTGATTTATATATACAGAGTGCAATTATATGGTTGTAACCGCTTAAAAATACGTAATCAGCTCAAAAAGGTCTTATCTAATTCTGAAAGAATGTGTAGTGTAAATTTCCAGTTGCAAAAATGTCTATTGGTATGCTAACAGATTTAAATCAAAATTTTATAAAAATATTGTTTTATTGCCAATATTATTTTGTTAAGTTACACCTTTTGCAAATATTAATTAGGAAACTCATATTGGTTTTTAGCATTTCCCCCCTGCATATACATAAAATAATTTTATGGAAGGTTAATATTACTTTTTCTTTCTTAGTTTATTTAGGTAAATAACTTTTATT